CCAGTACCTCCTTTCTCCCGACACTCCAAAATCCATCCCGCTTTTGCCAGAGAGACGATGCGGGGTTCTTTTGGTGACTGGGAATGGGGAAGAAGGGGGGAGTAGGAGGGCGAAGCGGAGGGGGGGGAGAAGCTGAAAAGACATGTTGGTGGAAGGGCAATTTGCATGAAAAATAGGGACGGATGATTAGGGACCCAGGCAGGGAATTTTGATTGCCCCAGAATTAAAAGGCGCATCCTGCAAATCAGTGGCGAGACCAGGTGAATTGTATTTTTGGCGTTTTCTTTGTAAACAAAATCTTTCATGTTTTGTTTTAAAAGTAGCCGTGATAATATACCCATCTTTTCGCTGGCTCTGCCACCACCAGGAGCCAAATGTTTTGCAGTGAACGCGGTGCCGGCCGTATTTCATACATTAGTATATAATTCTTGTTAATTAGCAATAATTTACGTTAAGAGCATAGAAAATGTTGAGGTTACAGGTTTTATATCTGTACATTTGATCATCTTGTTATTTTCAAGAACTTTGCCTCCTATAAAATTAATTAGGTGAAATGTGGAGGTGTAATCAGCAACCTCTGAATTACCACTTCATTTCCTGGTTTTGATTGTAAATCAGCCCAGTCGGTACAGACTTTAGCAAAGTCTATTTTTGTTTAGCGCTACTTTTAACTGTCTGGTGTCGAAGCAGCGGGTTACCTTCCCCTGCTAAATAATACTGACAGCGTCAGAAAGAAATCAGGCCGCGGGAAAACATTATAATTGAGTAATGATTATGCAGAGCTCCTCGCTAAGCCAGTTGTAAGGGGAATACGGGTTATTTTGTGTCTTTTGCTGTGGAGAGTTGGTGAGCCAGAAGTTAGGGTTGCAAAATACCTTTGTCTGCGGCGTGCAGCGAGCTACTGGTGGAATTAGTCCTGCAATAATTTACTCCCTCGGTCCGAACACAAGGAATGGCTAGGGAGAAAACCGCCGTGCCCAGCGATCCCGCAGAAACACCCTGCTCCTCTCCCGGCTGCCCGAGGAGCATGAAATAAATGCACGTTGTGCGCCTGATCTTGTCGGTCTGCAAGTTTAGAAGAAAACCCCAGCGATTAAGACATTGTTTTTATTAATACGAATGTAACCTTCATATTCCTGTGGTTGACCTTACGTTAAATTAGAAGTAGTACTAGAGGCAAGAAATGATGGACTGGATCCTGATGTCCTAGTTGGAGCTGAGGTACGGCGAGGTAGTGTGCTCTTTCAATATTATTTTATGCAGCACAACTGGGAGCTACTCCAGATCTTCCTCCTCAATATTCAGCCTAGGTAGGGTTGAAATAAATTTAACCTGAGTTCACTGGATTTTTGCACTTTATCAAAATCAGTTCCAATATCGTGCAGTCAAATTAAAATCTATTTTTTGATTCTCTGTGGCTTTAAGTTCATTAAATGTGAAATTGGCAGCCAGCTAAAGAAGGTCAGGCTGATTAACTGTTTAGGAGTTGCGTTCTGTCTCACTTGGCGTTACCTGGCAGTGTTTTAAGGTGGGTTGTATTTGTAGTACCCTTGCCTCCTGCTCGCTGCTGTTAGTGTGCGCGTTGTATTGCGCAGGTAGAGGAATACCGACGGGCTGCTGGTATTTATTTATTTATTTTGTCTCGTGAAAGGCAATAGTGATGGTGACTGCACGCAGATTGCCAAGGTATTTCTCTTATTTCTCTGTGAACTTCACCAAAAAAAAAAAGCCAGCAGAAAAGAGAGCTGCGTCTGCCTTGTTAGAGCATCCACTGACGATTCTGTGAGCAGAAATAGCCTCATAATGAAGCTTTTTGGAGCTCATTCAGAAAATTTGTCAACTTTGACAACATTAGGCGAGGTATTTGGAGTTTAAAGAAGGCACTTCTCACTATTGGGAGGAAACGTGGCAGTCGCTTGGCCACACTGATTTTTAGATGCTGAGGGCCACCAGTGCTAACATGTTTGAGATAATTTAGGCATTCCTTTATTTCAGGATGAAAAAGGAAAAATGACTAATTGCCTTGTTTCCTTAAGCACTAAAAAATATCCCATCTACCTAATATCCCTGGGTGGAATCGGTTGTGAATTTGATATTTATTTGAATCCAGAGGAGTAGCTGAAAAGTAAGAGGTGCCTCCCCCCACCCCACAGGCATTTCTGCTGCATTTGCTTTTTATCATTTCGGTTTCTGCCATTTATTTATTTATTTATTTGTCTCGTCCCCTCCCTCCCCTACGAATAACTCCCAGCTTTCAAATTTTTAAATTGGAAGCCATGAGCGGGCTGATAAGGGGTAGTGACACAAATAAATACGTATACATACGCACATGCGTTATAAGTGCTATATGTGCCCTGCATGTCGGTGCCTGCGTGTGTGCGGCCACGCGGTCTGGCTCTCCCCCTCTTTTCTTTTACATGCATACATGCACTACCTGCATGGCCTGCGTGGGGAATACGCGATATCTATTTGTCAAAACACCTTGGGTCTGCACCCGTGTCCGCGTAGTTCAGGCTTCTAAATTTTAGAAAGTAGGTCTGGCTGGGGGAGAATGCATGCCCGTGTTTGTGTGTGTGAGAGAGGAGAGCGTGTGCAGTGCTTTTAGCCTTGAATTCATATACATAAATAATACATCCGGCAATAAAGCGCCGTATTCCCTTCTCTTTGTAGCGCCACAAGAGTTGTGCAACGTATTCTTGCAGCCTGTTCATTTAATTTTACCACCAAATCGGTTGAGTCGAGTCAGAAATGTGTCCTCGTGTAGGAGCACAGAGACAGTCTCAGCGCTCACTCCCTGAGTTCTGCATGCTACAGCTGCTTCTGCAAAATCTCTTCCCTGTAACTGATGAATTCATCTCCTGGCTGCCGTGCTAATAGCCGTGTTGCATGGGTTTGGTTGGGGGGCAGCAGGCGGACCTTGTGAGCAGGGTGTAATATTCATGAAGAGGGGGCTCGATGCGTTCCTTTTCCCCCCTCCCCAGCGCCCAGTGCCTCTCCCGAGAGCTCTAATGATTCTCCTTTTGTTTCTCAAACTGCAGCCGAACCTCTTGAAGCCATTCTCACTGATGACGAACCTGAACATGGCACATTGGGAGCTCCGGAAGGGGACCACGACCTCCTCACTTGTGGCCAGTGTCAGATGAACTTCCCGTTGGGGGACATTCTTATTTTTATTGAGCACAAACGGAAACAATGCAATGGCAGTCTCTGCTTAGAGAAGGCTGTGGATAAGCCACCTTCACCCTCACCAAGTGAGCTGAAAAAAGCATCCAATCCTGTGGAGGTTGGCATCCAGGTTACGCCAGAGGATGACGATTGTTTATCAACGTCATCTAGAGGAATTTGCCCTAAACAGGAACATATAGCAGGTAAATTAAAGCAAGGAGAAGTGTTTGCGAGTTTATTTCCGTTTCAGTTGCCAACGTAGCATGTTCACAGTTGTAAACTGCTGCGTCTCTCTCTCTCTCTCTATTCTGCTTGCCGTGACGGCCGACGTGTTAAATACCCTGCCTTCAGTTAGCGGTGAGCGCACGACCGGTATTTCCTAGTGCTTGCGCAGAGGCAGGATCAACAGGCACGTGCCGTGCCAGCCGGTATTTCTAACAGTATTGTTTGAGGCTGCTCTCGTGATTTGCCTGTATTGTATTGTAGTCACCGTCTCCCGGTGTCTCGCCTGCCGTAGCGCTGCAGGAGGAGATTTCAGAGCCTGCCACGCGATAAAGCGAGGAGCTTTCGAGTCTTTGGCAAAGTCAGGGGTGAAAGAGTTAACCGAGCATCAGCCAGCCTTGGTTCCATATTGGCTGTCAGCGTATGGACTGTAATTAAACACAGCCCCATGGCAAAGTGACACCACCGACCTTGACTTTAAGATGCCATTTTCGACTGGCCAGGCCAGAGTAGAGAGGGCAGTTGCTGAAGCGCACAGACATGCTTATTCGAAAAGTTTAAGGGCATGTTGGAAATTTCAAAAGGTTGGTTTGACAGGAAAGGCCGCTCTCTGCAGCCTGCCTCCTCAGCCAAATGATAAATGCTTCGCTGTGCTCTCTCTTGTCTCTGATGTGGTTTTGACAGATGTATCTTGATTTTGTTTGCGGTTTACACAACCACATGTCAGCCGTACAAATGTCCAAGGCAGAGTTCTGTTTTGTGCAACGAACAATATGAAATGTAATTTTTAAAAAAAGGGTAAATAATTCCATTTCTTAGCATAATTTTTTTTTTTTTTTTAACCCGGAAAGCCATTCGCCGTGCAGATACTTTCAAAAATGAGGTTAAAAAAATAGAGCATACTATGTGAAAGCAAATCCCAGAGCCCTGGGAGTGTAACAAGGCATGCTCTGCTTTTAAAATCCTGCTAGTAAACAAGAGTGCTGCCTATTTGCAGCGAGCGTTGCAAATTGCTTCAAACCGCCCCAACGCCACCAGTCGAAAAGGGTGAGACTGTAGCGTATCACCACCACCAAATGCCTGAACCAGTTTTCAAACCCCCCACCCCCCTTTCCCAGCAGTGGTTGGGATGTGGCACTGCCAGCACCTCTCCTGGGGGAGCCCACAGGACTGCTCGGGGCTTTCGGAGGCGCGCAGTGCATCATCACATGAAGTGCTGGAGCTTGTCTTGGGCTTGCTTTGGCCACAAAGTCAAACCAGAACAGGGCAGTAGGCACTGGGAGGTTCAGTGCAATGCTCCCGCAGCCTCCCTGCCCTCCAAACCGGCCGGCAAAGCACACCAGAGAGCTGTAGTTTTGAAGGTTTTTTGCGGCAGCAGCAAATAGGTACCAGTGCGGCTGTGCCTGTTGGTGCACATATGTATGTATGCAAAGCCATGTGCGTGCACGTGCAGACGTCACGTGAATGACTATATCCTGTTTCTGCAGAGTAATAGGTATTACTTTGAATACATGTATGTATGTATGTGTGTTTAAGAGGAAGCAGAAGCTCAGCTACTGCTAAGCTACATTTTGAATGAGACTTAAAAAACCCGATAAATCTACATATTGCGCTTCCCAGCCACGGATGTTAAAGGTGGTTTTTTTTTTATTATTATTTTTAAATTTTTTTTCCCTAGCGTGGTAGAAGGCAGTGCCCATTTCCATGTGCTGCCTTGCGATCTGATGGAAAACGAGCAGAAACGTAGGGCATGATTAATGAAGCGGGAGCCTGGCGGAAGGGATTTGTAGTCTTCCGAGCTCTGGAGCCATACTAAATCACCAAATATGGAGGAGCGGCGGTATGATGTAACGCTGTATTTACGTATGGCGCCGCTCTGTTGAAAAGACAAAACACAGTATCTGTCAAGCAAGAATTAAACCTGCTCTCCTTGCTGTGGTCCCAAATAGGTCCCTCTGCCAATGGGTCGGCCACGGCGGGGAGTTCTGCACGTGGGGAAGCTCCTCAGCTGAGGGTTTTGCTCTGGCACTCGTCGGGCGAGTCGAATCACACTTGCGCATGGTGCGGGTGATGCAAAGCGAGCAGGATTTGGCCTTGCGCGGTGTCACGGGGCTGTTAATTCAGAAAAGGCTGTGGTTTTAACTGACTTGAAATGGTTCGGTGAGCGGAGGGTGATGGGTAAGGAGAGGCGCACGTGGGCGGGGGGCCTGATCCTGCTGACTCTTGTGTGTAGGGATCGCCTTTGCTGTGCCGGTGGGCCTGGCTGGGAGCAGGCTCGGGTCGGCGGGTGCAAGCCAGGAGCACTGTTGTGAGGAGAGACCCAGCTGCAGTTGTCCAGGCATCGCCCAGCCCAAGCTGTTGGCGTGGCCGTGCCCAGCCGTGCCCGCGGGTGGGAGGCCCACCGGCACGGGTCTTCTCCTGCACGTCCCCGGCTGGGATGGAGCCGAGGGGCGCTGGCGTCCCCTGGTTGTTCCCAGTGGTGGGAAATGCAGCCAGGCTGCGGGAGGGAGGACGGAGCACCAGGAGTTATGGGGTCTTGCACTGTCCCTCCCCTTCGTGTTTTCATCTCACCTTTCACTTGGTTGAGTTTAGCTCTCTCGTGTCCCAAAGAAGCGCGGCAATAGCTGGAGTTACCCATTGCTTGTAGCCAGGAGTGTGCGGGGTCCGGCAGTAAAATTACCACTGAGTGTCCTGGAGTGGGCTGTGCAGTTCAGCTTTCTGGAAGGCCCCCACGGTGAGCCTCAGGCTCTTCCAACTCCAGTATTTTCGTACCTGATTTCTGTGCAAGAATGCAAAATGCAAGAAGTGTGTAATGAAAAAAAAAAGCAGGAGAGAGGCTGCCTTTAGAAAAATACACGGGAGTTGAGCGAACTGATTCTTTCCGGTAAGAGACCAGAAAATATGTATTTAGTAGCAATGTAAAAATGTCCCCAATTAGGTGTTAGGCTGAAAGAGTTGTTGCGGGTTAGCTCTGGATACAGAGGTGCATGCTACAGGGTAGCTCTGGATGCCGTATACAGTTTTGTAGTCAGCGAGCTGGTGTGTTACAGTAAAAGATCATCTTAAGATAAGTAATGGTTAAGGATCGCCTCATCGCAAGACAAGGAAGGAGGTGGCGAGTCATTCACATGCAGGGAGAAATGATGTCTGTTTTAACCCTCCTCAATCGGCTGCTCTTTATCCTCACCGTTTTCCGGAGACGGGGATGATTGCAAGAGCTTATACGTATGTGTGCAACCTGTGCAGTAGCTGTGAGATCCATATAGGTGCAGGCATGCGTACCTGTCTCTTCCGTGTGGGTGTCTGCCTGCCTGCGCGTAGCTTTGACTTGCTATAAAATTTTGAGTGATGCTGATCCAGCGCTATAGCTGAAATGTCATAAATTTAACTGAAAATTAATAGGATATGTTGTGTGGGTCCAATGAGGCAGCTTTCATCAATATGTATGTCAAAGCCTCACCACCAGATACCGGCAGCCTGTGATTTGCAGTGAGTGCTACGGCAGGGCTTTAGTTATCCGCTCTCATATTTTACAATAGGGGGAAATATTAACTGAAGTATCTAGAGATCAGTGAATGCAAAATTGCTGTTCACTTATTGAAAAGGCCGAAGAAATATTTATCGTCCGCCGGTGGCAGGTTTTAGCGGTTTGTTTGTTGAATATATAAATCCAAGGGAATTAATGAAAGGTTGGTTTTGGGGGTGTGGAGGGATCTTAAATGTTACTTGGGTTCAGTTGGAGGAACACTTTGGAGTGCTGCTGCATATTGCCCTCTGTAATGCCGAGCGTGTATCTGCGGATGCCGTATTTACTGTACAAAGAGGGGAGGAGGAGGGGAGGTCATTTTTCCTGCTCGAATCCTTTATTCTCAAGCTGCTTGTGGCATTCAAATAAAATATATGGGAAAATAACGCAAGAAAACACCCTGTCTGCAGTAATCGGGGGGGAAGGTGGACATCCTTTGATACTAAATTTTGGACTGAGTACATTTGATTATTACAGTTCTGAGGAGGTGATGTCTTTGAGTAGGCATTACACCACAGAAATCTTCTTGGGCTGTTACTAGTAGTTGCCATTATAATTCTGTAGGTTGGAAATTGCGATTCCTTATTATTTTGTTTTGTTCCAGAGACAAAAAATTACTGACGTCTGCATTGAATAGTTAGCATTGCATCTGGACAATGAGATGAAAGCTTAAAAAAGGGCGGAGGGAGAGGGAAGGAATAGGGGAATATTTTGGAGTCAAATTCTGTCTGCTTTCCCCATACAAAGAAACAGAGAGCGCAGGCTGGGTAAAACCGTTGCAGGCAGGAAAAATAGCGAGGGTGCTACCCAAAGGCTCCTGAGATTCGGAGCCCTGCGTGCAAGCTGTATTTGTAAATAAGACAGAGAAGGGTTGTGAACCGGCAGCTTGGCTGTTTTGTCAAAGTACAATGTCAGAGAAACTCTTTCTAAGACAAATTGTAAATAGAAGTGTCACGATGATTGCATGATTGAGCTCTAGAAGTGTCTTGCAATTGTTGGCATTGTCAGAAGACTTTTGAAAGCTTAATTAAAGGCGGTGGCCTGTGCGGCTGTGAAATTTACTTCTCGGGGGGGTGTGAGGGAAATGTAAAAAAATGTAGGGGATCAAAAAGTTGCTCTAACGCTACTCGCGCAGGGGTACGGAGAAAAGTCGATACTTTCTCTGCTTTCCCTGTTGCCTTTTATAAATTACATTTTTTGAAGAAGCAAACACGTGACACCAGTATCATCCTTTGTATGAGGTAAAGATTGTGTTAGTTTTCCTATTCCCTGCTGTTACAGGCGGTTAATGTAAAAATGGCTCTTTATTGGAAACACAAATCCAAGTTCACTCGAAGCACGGAAGCAGGGGAGAAGTTTTCCTCTGCCTCGGCGTGATCCTTCCAGGAGAGCATCAGAGTGTTGCGGTGCCTGGAATCTTTCTGCATGTTTTTTTGTTTCCTGCAAATCAGATCT